CACGTGCAGCATTTTGTTCAAGCAATAATAAAAGGACACATTTAATTTATAATTTGTCTTAAATCTCATTTTGTTAAAAAAATCGTGAATCGAATCATGAAATCAAAATCTCGAATCGTGAGTTGAGTGAATCGTTACATCTCTACTCACAAGTATTGTGAGAAAAGAGTCATGTTACGTTTTTTTCTTTTTTATTCAGTGGAGGATTCATGCTATATCTTTTTTATGTAATTTAAACCAATGCTCTTTTGAAACCTTTTTTCTTTTCTGCATTTTCTCCTCTTTTCTTGCTTGCTTCCTGATCTAGGTGTCTAATAAACCTGGCATTGCAAATCACAAATAAACAAAATTACTTTTGCTCGTCTTTCTAAGTTGCTTTGGATAGAAGCATCTGCTAAATGCATAAATGTAAATGTGATTTCATTACATGTAATGTCATTTCTTTGTCTGTCTGCAGGAAGGGACGCAGCTGGTTTCGGAGAAGCCAGAGACAGAAGCCATAGTGAAGGAGAAGCTGGCCACGTTGCAGAAGATGTGGACCGAACTGGAAACTACGACTCAGACTAAAGCCCAGTGTCTGTTTGATGCCAACAAAGCCGAACTCTTCACGCAGAGCTGTGCCGATCTGGACAAGTGGCTGGTGGGTCTGGAGGGTCAGATCCAATCGGACGACTACGGCAAAGATCTGACCAGCGTCAGCATCCTGATGAAGAAACAACAGGTTTGAGATGATCAGAGCTGACGGCTGTATTTATATTCTGAAGGACCAAACTCACTCCTCTCCTTTGTCTCCAGATGCTGGAGAACCAGGTGGAGGTGCGTCAGAGGGAGGTGGAGGAGCTCCAGTCTCAAGCTCACGTGTTGAGACAGGAGGGAAAGGACACAGACGAGGTGGATGGACGCCGGAAGGTGGTGGAGCAGAAGTTTAAGGAGCTGCTGGATCCGTTGCAGAAGCGGAAAGACTTCCTCATGGCCTCTCGGGAGATTCACCAGTTTAACCGCGACGTGGAGGATGAGATTGTAAGTTTGGGTTTTAAAGATGCGTGTGAATGTTGACCTGTCGGTGTGTTTAACTGGTCGTTTCTCCTCAGCTCTGGGTTGAGGAGCGGATGCCTCTTGCTACGTCAACAGACCATGGCCACAATTTACAGACTGTTCAGCTGCTTATCAAGAAGAACCAGGTAATGTGTTGCTTTTTAATTACTATTTACAAACAAACAAACTAACAGGTTATACTAGCATTTCTGGAAAAGAGATGTTTTTAGATCAAAATCGATTCTAAAATGTAGAATAATGGAATAATCAAATGTAAAACTAAAACACTGCATAGTCTTCACTGTATGAATAAAATATAAATTAATTCTTATTAAGGATACTAAAGTGATTCAGCCAAAAGTAGAGTCATTTTCTTTCTTTTTTTTTGTTTTTTGATTAACATTAATGAAACATATGGCAACAAGTGCCTGCTGTTACTTTAAGAACGAATGCACGGATCCAACCAAGCACGTCCCAGTCATTTTTTCATTCATACATGTTTCTTTATCATTCTTATGTGTCAATAACTTTAAGTACTGTAGTACCACAGAGTTGAAGAAATGTAAAACATTATATAAGCCATTAGAAAATCGTTTTTTTATAATCGATGCGAATCGGCAGAGGATAGAATGGCGATTCATATGTGAATCGACATTTTCCCCCACTTCTATACACTACTGTTCAAAAGTTTGGGGTCTGTAAGATTTTTATAAAAATTTATACTTTTTTTTTTATAGCAAGGACACATTAAATTCATCAAAAGTGACGGTAAAGACATTTATGGTGTTCAGGGTTGAAATTAAACTAAAATTATTAAAACTGAAATTAAAACCATAAAGAAAAATGTGTTACTTGAAATAAAACATGAATTGAAATAAAATAAAATATGAACTTTTTTTCAGCTAGATGCCAAGGCAACATTTTAACTTGTTGTACTAAAATAACTAAAACTGAAATAAAAATTAAAAAAAAAAAAACACTAAAAATAAAATAAACACAACAAAAATACTGAAATTAAAGTTAAATTAAAGTGAAAATGTGAGGTATAAAAATTAAAACTAATACAAAATATTAACAAAAACTATGAAATAACACTGATAATGTTACAAAAGATTTTTTATTTCAAATAAATGCTGTTCTTTTGATCTTTCTGATCATCAAAGAATCACAAAAAATTTTAACATCACGGTTTCCACAAAAACATGAAGCAGCACAACGGTTTTCAACATTGATAATAATCAGAAATGTTTCTTGTGCAGCCAATCAGCATATTAGAATGATTTCTTAAGATCATGTGACACTGAAGACTAAAAGTTCAGCTTTGATCACATGAATAAATTACATTTTAAAATAAATTGACAACAGGTATTTTAAATTGTGAAAATATTTCACAATATTACTGTTTTACAGTATGTACAGCCTCAGTGAGCAGAAGAAACTTCTTTCAAAAACATTTCTAAAAAATCTTACCGACCCCAAAGTTTTGAACTGCTTGTTGTGTGTCATCATGATCATTTGTGCTGCTATTGTAAATTTCATTTCATTAGGTACATAATTAAAAAGGTTTTCCACACACACACTTACTCAAACGTCCTTTAATCCACAGACATTACAGAAGGAGATCCAGGGCCATCAGCCGCGCTGCGACGACATCTTCGAGCGCAGCCAGAGCATCCTGAAGGCCGACAGTCCCAACGTGGAAGCCATCCAAGCCCGTCTGTCCGACCTGCAGCAGCTGTGGAGCCTGATCATCCAGGAGACGGAGAAACGTCACGCCAGACTCGAGGAGGCCCACAAGGCCCAGCAGTACTACTTTGACGCAGCTGAAGCTGAAGCCTGGATGAGCGAGCAGGAGCTCTACATGATGTCTGAAGAGAAGGCCAAGGTCTGTTATGTTCCTGTAATCTGTAAATCACAGATTAGTAGTTTCGGCAGATATAATTAATGTTAATGTGCATTGAGATGGTTTTATTTGGTCTTAAATACACCAAATAAAACCATCTCAATGCACATTAACATGAATGACTATAGCAATTAATGCACTATAGGCAAAACCTTTGTTTTTTTTCATGCACTGGTCAGTTTTGGTCTATTTTGCTTCCATAGCATGTCTTTTTTCAGACTAGTGGGACGGAAACATCCAAAATACACATTTAAGTATTTATTGTATTACATTTTATATATCTGTGTCTGTATATTTCAATTACAATACCTATCTTTTAAGCTTTCTCCTCCACTTCAGCAGCACTTACTTACAGTTTTATTCCTATCTATACTCTGAAGGTTTTTATTTTTCATATATCATTTGCACATTTTATTCTTAAAACATACTTTTTTTCTGTCTGGTGACAGTATTTTCTGATTTATGTAGAAATCCAAAAGACAAATCCAAAATCTCCTCAGTAAAAAAAACTCTAATATGTCAACAAAATCAAACAACAATTTTGAACCTGGCTTTATCCACTGTTCAGATTTTGCAAATTAGTACATAATTAATTAGATAATTTCTAATTTGCTTAAACAACATTTCAGAAATCTTGTAATACAAAATTCAGTGTCCTGATTAAGCAACTGGGGACATACAATGATATCTATTTGCTTTAAAGGGTAACTGCCTTTTTTATTATTTTGTACAGTTCTCTGAGGTCCACTTATAATGTTATCAAGATTTTTACATAAAAAACATCATAATTTAGCAGTAATAGGCTATTTTCTGTCCTGTGTTTGACCCCCTCATCAGAACGCTCTAGGTGTGGTGGATTGTAGACTCAGAAGTAAGCACGTACTGCTGTGAGTGGCTAACAGCTGTGTATGTTTGACAGCCTGCATCCTTCACAGATGGATGCATAAATACTCAGTACATATCAAACGATCTGTAATAACAGACAAAGCAATAGTGAGCATGTAATAAAAACAGTTCCTCACACTTGTGTGGTGCAACATTACTGTCAGATCCAATATATTCAGCACAGCATCGTCTTTTAGTTTCAATCTTTTTGAAAATCTTGCGTCAAATTGTGCTTTGTTTGTAAACGAATCCACAGTTCTTACTGATGCGATCTGGATCTTCATTAAAAATAAACTTCATCCACTCTTTCCTATTGGCACTGAACAGCGTCTTGATGTCTTCGGAGCATCTTTATCATTTGGTTTCTGTGTAGACCTGCGTTTGCCTCTCTCGTTATTTACACTATATGCGTGAATCAGTGGGCGGAGCTAAACAGGCAGTGCTGTAGAATCAGTGGGTGGAGCTAAACAGGCGGTGATATAGAATCCGTGGGCGGGGCTAAACAGGCAGTGATGTAGAATCGGTGGGGGGAGCTAGACAGGCAGTGCTGTAGAATCGGTAGGCGGGGCTAAACAGGTAGTGCTGTAGAATCAGTGGGTGGGGCTAAACAGGCAGTGATGTAGAATCGTGGGGGGAGCTAGACAGGCAGTGATGTAGAATCGGTGGGCGGGGCTAAACAGGTAGTGCTGTAGAATCAGTGGGTGGGGCTAAACAGGTAGTGATGTAGAATCGTGGGTGGAGCTAGACAGGCAGTGATGTAGAACTGGTGGGCGGGGCTAAACAGGCAGTGCTGTAGAATCGGTGGGTGGGGCTAACAGGCAGTGATGTAGAATTGGTGGGAGGGGCTAAACAGGCAGTGCTGTAGAAACGATGGGCAGGGCCAAACAGGCAGTGATGTAGAAGCAAGCGTTGATCTTCTGCGGAGGCGGGGTTTAGCCACACTATTACGTCATGAAGTGGCACATTCCACAAGCTGTTGTTTTGGCAGATTGGCTTCAATATAAGCAGTTTTTAGACTTACAAGAAAGTTTCGAGTTCTGAAACTTACAGGATGTTTTTACAGCACAATGACCTCTTATATGTCAAAAGATCAAGGGAATTTTGATTTCTCAGTTCATGACCCCTTTAACTGCTAAAGTGAACATTAGCTTGGTTTAATATTTATATGCTGCTTTTCTGAAATGACGCCCTTGTTCTCAGGATGAGCAGAGCTCAGTGGCCATGCTGAAGAAACACCAGATCTTGGAGCAGGCGGTGGAGGACTATGCTGAAAACGTGCACCAACTGTCCAAGACGAGCCGAGGCCTGGTGGCCGCAAACCACCCCGAGAGGTACATTTCACACAGTTCAATACTTAACATGAATCTAAGTATAAATCTGGATCTCATTTTGAATCTGATATTAACTTTAAAACTCCATCTGGTTTTGATTCTGACATTGTTTTCTAAATATATTTCTAAATGTGGATCTGACTTTGAATATAAATATGAATCTGATTTTGAGACTCTGCCAATGTTTTGCATTCTAGTTTTGCATTGCATTTACACAAATAACTACGTCTGACTGGTCCATCTCTGATGATTGTGCCAATGTAGTTTACAATCAGTGATTAAAAAAACAAAAAACTTTAAATGAAATATAATATTTTTGTTTGATATTGACAGCTATTTGGGGATATATATTACATGTTACAAATGTTGCATTTTTTGGACCAGTTTTAAAGTTTTATTACATTTTTGTTCCTGAAATCCACCCTTCTGCTGGGATCAGAATAATCAGTTTTCCGGATCAAAAGTATCCCAAACTTACTAAAACTGAGGATTTGATCCAGATCAAAACCAAGATTGGATTTTGTGATCTAATCCGAATTCAGAATCCTTTTTTTCTTTTGAACAACCCATTTTCAAGATTTGATCCAATCCGATTGCCAAAATCCAATCAGATTACTTTTGAACAATTGGCCCCTGGATTTTAATCTTAATCCTATTTGATTCTGGCTCTGAAACTGACTTTGATTCTAAACCTGGATCTGAATCTCATTGTGACTCTGAATCTGATTTGGAATTGATCTGAATTAGACGTACACTCTCACGTTTGTATTTCAAGATCACAAGGTCTCAATCTTTACACCTCTGGCCTGATTAACGTCTTATGCTGAACATTTCTGAATATGATCTTAAAATCAGCCCTGACTTCTTCTGATGTGTCTGTGCTGCAGTGAGAGGATCGGCATGCGTCAGTCACAGGTGGATAAGCTGTACGCCGGACTGAAGGACCTATCAGAGGAGAGGAGAGGCAAACTGGAGGAGCGCTTCCGCCTCTTCCAGCTCAACCGGGAGGTGGACGAATATAAAATTAATATATTAAAAAATAATTTAAACGATGGTAATATTACAATAAATAAATACATTTTGTACTTTTAAAATAAATTTCCAAAAACAAATAAAATGTCAAAACTGTTTTTCAATTTTTTTAAGTATATGGTATTTTTTAAGGACTGGGTGATATAGACAAAATTATATCTCAAACTTTTTTTTTAGACTCACATGCAAGAATCTTTTCTTACAAACAAACAAACTCAAACCAAATTCATTTAAACAGGCCAAACTGATTGATTTATAGAGGAAATGTTTCATTTTTACTTAAAGTCATGAACAGATCAGATTTATGGCAAGATCTCCAACCAGAAGTTAAATAAAGCTTTTATTATTGATAAATCGTAATGCTGTCATCCAAGTCTGATTATATCCAATTATCAAGACATGTTGCAAATATACTAAATGTTATCATATAATAAATGCATTTGTGTTATGCAGAACTGTATATATATATAGAGAGAGAGAGAGACAGAGAGAGAGTTTTGAAATAATTAAGATTTTTTTTTACAAATGTTGAAAGAATTCTCTTATGCTCTCCAGGCCTACTTTTATTTGATCAAGAATCAGTTTGGGCGAATTAACTTTATTAATATTTATTAGTGCTGTCAAACGATTAATCGCATGCAAAATAAAATATTTTGTTTACAAAATAAATGTGTGTGTACTGTGTATATTTATTATGTATATATAAATGCACACATATGCACATATATATTTAAGATGAATATGTTATGTTTATATATTAAATATATGTATATATAATATAAATTATATTAATATATGCTTGTAAATGCATTAAATATTTTCAAAAAATATACGTGCATGTGTGTATGTTTATATATACATAATAAATATATACACAGCACACACACATTTATTATGTAAACTTTTATTTTGGATGCGATTAATCGCGATTTATCGTTTGACAGCACTAATGTTTATTAATGGTGCATTGCAGCATGTAAATGAGGGTAAATTTATTAAATATACCAAATTTGATCATATAATAAATGCATTTTTGTTCCTCTACCACAGATGTTGCAGGAGCGCTTCCGTGAGTTTGCTCGCGACACGGGAAACATCGGTCAGGAGCGCGTGGACGGCGTGAACCGTATGGCTGACGAGCTCATAAACGCAGGGCACACTGACGCAGCGACTGTAGCCGAGTGGAAGGACGGTCTGAACGAGGCCTGGGCCGATCTGCTGGAGCTCATCGACACACGCACGCAGATTCTTGCCGCGTCCTACGAGCTGCACAAGTTCTACCACGACGCCAAGGAGATTCTGGGACGCATCCTGGACAAGCACAAGAAGCTTCCAGAAGAGCTGGGCCGAGACCAGAACACGGTGGAAACCTTGCAGAGGATGCACACTACATTTGAACACGACATTCAAGCTCTCGGGACGCAGGTGCGTCGCTCAGATCCAGAAACACACACAGATACAGATAAACATCATAAACCAGATCAAAAATGATTATATCTCAGTCGTTTTCATCCTTTTGACACATTTGATTTATAATAATATTTATGCGTTTGCTCTGCAGTGGCTTAAAAATGTATGTTTTTAAATTATTCAGAATATGATTAAATCAGCTTTATTGTCACTGTTCAGAACACAAGTACAAGACAATTATGTATAATAATAAACACATATATAAACCATAAAATAAATATGTTCTAAAATATGAAAATGAATATATTCCCAAAAAAATTAAAATATAATGCTCATATATAAAAATATATCATGTACAGTTTGGAATAATTAAGTTTTTTTTCATGTTTCTGACAGTAGTCTCTTATGCTCATCAAGGCTGCATTTATTTGATCAACAATACAGTGAAAATAAATTAAATAAAAAAATATATTATAATAGAAAATACTTTCAAACTGTAATAATATTTTGCAATCTTACTGTTGTTAATGTATTTTTGATAAAAAAATGTTACTTTCAAAAAACAAAATGATTCAAAAATGTTATAGAATTACACACACACACACACATATATATATATATATATATATAATTTTTTTGAGTAATTCAGAATGTTTAAATATTTATATACATTTTTATGTAATTATATATATATAGAGAGAGAGAGAGAAAAATAATTAATTAAGTGGTGGCTGGATCTCACGAGCTCGGACAAGACTACGAACACGTCACGGTGAGTCCCAAAGATGAGCTCTAGCACACTTTGTCCAGCATCAAAATCAAAATGTCAAAATTTTTATTTCAGTGTTAAGGTTAGTCTGTGTTATAGTTAAAATAATGCCTCAATCTTTTTCATCTCAATATTAACGTATTTGCTCTGCAGTGGCTTTGAAATGATATTTTAAAATTGTCATTGTCATTGTGCAAGTACAACTTTTTAAGTACAAGAAAATAATGTGTAATATATATATATATATATATATATTACTTTCAAAAAACAAAATGATTCAAAAATGTTATAGAATTACACACACACACACACATATATATATATATATATATAATTTTTTTGAGTAATTCAGAATGTTTAAATATTTATATACATTTTTATGTAATTATATATATATAGAGAGAGAGAGAGAAAAATAATTAATTACTTAATAGTTATTTATAGATTAATTAGTATGTTTTTAAAAAATATATAAAAAAATATAAATATAATAATACAAATAATTATATTTAATATTTTTATAAATAATATAATAATAATATTATTTTAAATAATAATATTAATATTCTATAACTTAAATCGATTTATTAAATATATATTTTATAGCCTTCGTTTGTGCATCATTAACCTCTGAAGGTGAACATCATGCATTACGAGACTAATATTGCACAACAAAGAAGTAAATTAACCGGTTTTATTGGCTAAATGCACTGTCCAGGACTCTTCACTTAATTAATGGGTCTTAAAATGTTATGGTTTTTGAAATCTCACAATTTGTCTTGCACTAAATGAGTCCTTTGAGCATCAAATGCTGCATATTCAGCGTTTCTCTCCCACGTCTCACTGAAGCTCATAAGGAGCTGTTGTACTCACTGCTGTCCCCTGCTGGTGTGCTCAGGTCAGGCAGCTGCAGGAGGACGCCGTGCGCCTGCAGTCAGCGTATGCTGGAGACAAAGCGGACGACATCCAGCGGCGTGAGGGAGAGGTGCTGGAGGCCTGGAGGAGTCTGCTGGAGGCCTGCGAGGGCCGAAGGGCCCGACTGCTCGACACCGGAGACAAGTTCCGCTTCTTCAGTATGGTGCGAGACCTCATGCTGTGGATGGAGGACGTCATCCGCCTCATCGAGACGCAGGAGAAGCCCAGGTGTGTGATTCTGACCTGGCTTTGCTTTAGGAGACATTATTGCTGAAAATGTGCCTGAACTTTAGTTAAATGCGACAACCTCTGTCTTTGAAAGGGAAATGGTTCATAAAGAAATCAAATAAATAGTTATAATTTTTTTTTTTCACTACTAAAATGTCCAAAGTTGTACTTCAGTGCTATAGAGTGATATAGCTAAAATTATATCTGTCTTTTTCATTCTTTTATATTGGCTCTTCAGTGTCTTAAAATAGGATTTTTACAAACGTTTTCAGTCTATAGATTAAATTAGTTCATTTTATTGTAATTGTGCAGAATAAAAATTATATAAAGTATAGTATATAATAAATATAATAATAATAATACATATATTCTCAAATATAAAATGAATATATTCAAAAAGTGATGCAAAAATAATGCTGATATAACTGTAAATTAATTAAATAAATACATTTTTACTATTAAAATCATTTTTAAAAAAATTAATAAAATGTCAAACTGTATTTCAGTGTTAGGTGACACTTTGTATGTATATCTCAATATTTATGCTTTACAGTGACATAAATATGTTTTAGATATCTAGGTAAACATTTGTGTGTATGTATACTTCATATATTTGTTTCTGTTCACAGTGTGCTGTTAGTATGTGTTGAACAGAATGAGGTTTGTTGTGTGTGTAGATGATCCAGATCAGTCTGAAGCTATTCATCTCTTTTCTTGCTGCTGTTCTTCAGGGACGTGTCGTCTGTCGAGCTTCTCATGAACAACCACCAGGGTATCAAGGCTGAAATCGATGCCCGTAACGACAGTTTCACGACCTGCATCGAGCTGGGCAAATCTCTCCTGGCACGGAAACACTATGCATCAGAGGAGGTGGGTACCATCCGCAGGACAGACGAAGAGGTTCAAGAAAAGAACCGTCTTTACACCGATCCAGTCCTTCATGTCCGTTTACCTCTCCCACAGATCAAAGAGAAGTTGTTGCAGTTGACGGACAAGAGGAAAGATATGATTGACAAGTGGGAGGACAGATGGGAGTGGCTTAGACTGAGTGAGTATGATAGGAAATATCTCAAAAAAACGTGTGTTTTCTCAGCTTTTTAAAGATTAGGATAAAAATAATATACAGTTTTTATATAAATAATATTTTTATTTTTTTTTATTCAGAATATTCATAATATTTTTTATTGTTAAAATCATTATAATAATCAGGACTGGGTGATATAGCTAAAAATTATCTTAAACTTTTTCACCTTTTTTTACACTGATTTATATCTCAATAGTCATGCAATATTTATGCAGTGAAGTAAATATGGGATTTAAAAAAAATTAATATGTATACATATATATGAATAAATAATTATTTTTATATGTATTTTAAATGTATATTACATTAGGAGTCAACATTGTGCAGAATACAAGTAAAGTCCAAAATATGTATAGAAAATAAATATAAAAATTTGTATCAAATTGAAATATTCAAATATATATATATATGTATATTTGACTACAGTTAATAACAGTAGAAGTAAAGGGAAAGTTTTAGATATCTAGGTAAACATTTGTGTGTATGTATACTTCATATATTTGTTTCTGTTCACAGTGTGCTGTTAGTATGTGTTGAACAGAATGAGGTTTGTTGTGTGTGTAGATGATCCAGATCAGTCTGAAGCTATTCATCTCTTTTCTTGCTGCTGTTCTTCAGGGACGTGTCGTCTGTCGAGCTTCTCATGAACAACCACCAGGGTATCAAGGCTGAAATCGATGCCCGTAACGACAGTTTCACGACCTGCATCGAGCTGGGCAAATCTCTCCTGGCACGGAAACACAATGCATCAGAGGAGGTGGGTACCATCCGCAGGACAGACGAAGAGGTTCAAGAAAAGAACCGTCTTTACACCGATCCAGTCCTTCATGTCCGTTTACCTCTCCCACAGATCAAAGAGAAGTTGTTGCAGTTGACGGACAAGAGGAAAGATATGATTGACAAGTGGGAGGACAGATGGGAGTGGCTTAGACTGAGTGAGTATGATAGGAAATATCTCAAAAAAACGTGTGTTTTCTCAGCTTTTTAAAGATTAGGATAAAAATAATATACAGTTTTTATATAAATAATATTTTTATATATATTAAATGTATTATGTTAGTAAAACAAATACATTTAAAAATGCATGCATAAATACAGAAAAACAGTAATATTCAGCAAGGATGTTAAATTGATTAAAAGTGATAGTAAAGACTTATATTGTTATAAAAGATTTCTATTTTTTAATTTTTAAACAACTTTTTAATCATCAAAAAATCCTGAAAAAAGTATCACAGGTTATAAAATTAA